GTAGAGGAAGAGGAGTGCTGGGTCATCCTGCAAGAGGCAGACCCCTTTCAGGCTGCCCACCAGGATAACAGGCAGCACCACCGACAGTGTGTAAAAGTCAACGGGAAGGAGGTCAGTGGTCTACGGGATACCGGGGCAACCATGACTTTGCTCCAGAAGCACCTGGTATCCGAAGCCCAACATACAGGGGACACGGTCGCAGTACGAGTAGCCGGGGGTGCCGTGTTTCGTCTACCCGTTGCCCGGGTACATTTGGATTGGGGAGTGGGCGCCAGACATGTGAATGTGGGGGTCATGAAGGACTTACCAGCGGATGTTCTCCTTGGCAATGACTTGGCGCCCCTTGTTTCCGCCTACGCTCCCATGGGTCCTGCTGAAGTGGATGCTGTCACGACCCGTGCCCAGACCCGTGCCGCCGAGACCGGCCCACCTGCTGCTGAGACCCAGGTAAGACTCTCTACCCCGACTTGTACCTTAGATCAGGCCCCTTTAGGCTGGGACACCCCAGAGATGTACGGGAGGGAAACCCGGGAAGACCCGACTTTAGAGAAGTATAGTGCCAGGGCAGATACTGGGGGAGAGGGGGGTCGATGGGGAGTGTTACGAGTGGGTGGGGGATAGGCTGTACCATACCTCTCCGCAGAATCGGCAGCTGGTGGTGCCTGCGAAATAACGGCAGGAGATTCTGCGGATTGGGCATGATGTGCCATTAGCGGGCCATCTAGGCTCCCGCCGCACAGCTCATAGGATCACACAAAATTTCTTCTGGCCTAATTTCAACCGAGATGTGCGGGTCTATTGTAGTACGTGTGACACATGTCAACGGGTAGGTAAACGGGGGGATCACCCAAAGGCTAGGCTCATATCGATGCCTATCATTGGAGAACCCTTTTCCCGCATAGCCGTTGACATTGTGGGTCCACTGGCCAGGGCTAGCCCATCCGGTAAGAAGTATATTCTCACCGTGGTGGACTATGCCACACGTTATCCAGAGGCAGTAGCGCTGTCTAATATAGAGGCAGAGACGGTTGCTGATGCCCTGGTTAAAATCTTCACTAGGGTCGGGTTCCCTCAGGAGATTCTCTCCGATCAGGGAACCCAGTTCACCGCTGTGCTTACCCAGCAGCTGTGGAAGGTGTGCGGTATTAAACCTCTGCTTAGCTCACCGTATCACCCACAGACTAACGGTCTCTGCGAGCGATTTAATGGCACCCTCAAACAAATGTTGAGGACCTTTACTGACACTTGCAGAGATTGGGAGCGATTCCTGCCTCATCTGCTATTTGCATACAGAGAGGTGCCCCAGGAATCTACAGGGTTCTCCCCCTTTGAGTTACTCTATGGGAGAAGGGTCCGTGGAACCCTAGATCTCATTAGAGGACACTGGGAGGGGGAGACAGAGCAAGAAGGGACCCCCATAGTACCATATGTCCTGGAACTCCGGGACCGCATGGAGAAACTATCCCTGATGGTCAGGGAGAATCTCCAGGCGGCCCAGGGGAGACAGAAACGGTGGTACGATCGGGGTGCCCGACAGCGGGTCTTCCAGGTTGGGCAGAAGGTTCTGGTACTCAAGCCTGTAAAGACAAACAAGATGCAAGCATCTTGGCAGGGCCCGTATAAAGTGTTAGCTCAGGTGTGTGATACTGCCTACCTTATAGCCAGCTGTTCAGATGAAAGGATTCAGCGATCCTTCCATGTGAATATGCTGAAGGAGTATCAGGAACGACCAGAGGATGTTGCAGCAGTATGTGCCCCAGCTACTGACGACTCCGAGAACTTACCTTTACCTGACCTGTTAGAAAGGGATCCCCAGACAGACCTTACTAGTCTTGTACAGCTGGGGGACCGGCTAAACCCAGCGGAGAAGGTACAGGCGAGACAGTTACTGTGGGAGAAGCAGGCGACGTTCTCCCAAGAACCCGGGTACACTACCCTAGCTGTACACAAGGTCGAGACACCCGGACAGAACCCCCTACGACAACCCTGAAGCAGTCCGGGAAGGAATGCGGACGGAGATACAGGAGATGACCAGGCTGGGGGTTATCGAACACTCAGACAGTCCTTGGGCCTCGCCTGTAGTTCTGGTGCCTAAGAAAGATGGGACCACCCGGTTCTGTGTGGACTACAGGCGGCTCAACGAGCGGACCATCACTGACGCCTACCCTATGCCCCGGGTAGACGAGTTATTAGACCGCATTGCCAGGGGGCGCTACTTGACCACCATTGACCTGTGTAAAAGGTTATTGGCAGATCCCCCTGGCCGAGGATGCTATCCCTAAGTCGGCATTCGTCACCCCATTTGGCCTGTACCAATTTAAGGTTATGCCATTTGGGATGAAGAATGCTCCGGCTACGTTCCAGCGTATGGTGGATAGGCTCCTCAATGGCTTCCAGGATTTTGCATGTGCATACCTGGATGACATTGCGGTCTACAGTGAGTCCTGGGAAGACCATTTAGTACACGTGGGGGTGGTGCTGGACAAGATTCGGGCCGCAGGCCTGACCTTGAAGCCAGACAAGTGCCATCTAGGCATGGCAGAAGTACAGTACTTGGGTCACAGAGTAGGCTGTGGGAGCCAGAGACCGGAGCCAGCCAAGGTAGAGGCTGTAGCTAACTGGCCCACACCTATCACCAAGACCCAAGTGCTGGCCTTCTTGGGGACGTCAGGGTATTACCGACGTTTTGTCCCTGACTACAGTACGGTTGCTAAGCCCTTGACTGACCTGACTAAGAAGAATTTGCCTAAGCAGGTCCTGTGGTCTCCAGCTTGTGAAGCCGCGTTTCAAGCACTTAAGCAGGCTCTTGTGAATGCCCCTGTCCTGGCTGCCCCAGTCCCTAACAAATGTTTTCTTGTACATACAGATGCTTCCATGTATGGACTGGGGGCTGTGCTAAGCCAGGTCGGGGAAGATGGAGGAGAGCACCCTGTCGCATACTTAAGCAGAAAGTTACTACCCCGGGAAGTAAGTTATGCGGCAGTGGAGAAAGAGTGTTTAGCCCTGGTCTGGGCACTGAAGAAATTGAGCCCATATTTATACGGACAGGAGTTTTCCCTTATTACAGACCATAACCCCCTTGTCTGGCTTAACCGGGTCTCAGGAGACAATGGCAGACTGCTGAGGTGGAATTTGGCACTACAGCCTTACAACTTCACCATCAGCTACCGACCCGGTAAGCAGAATGGGAATGCGGATGG